GGTCGCTATGAGTCGGGTCCGACTCGACGGCACATAACAACAGTGGACCTTTAGCACTCGAACGACTTAAAAGAGTCAGCTTGTCTGATTCAACAGGAAACTGTCCATTGGTTTCCTGTACCCACAATCCTTCAAGATGATCCCTGAGCGAGGGATCATGGTAGGCAGAGGACCGCTCTGTAGGGTGGGGACTGTGTAAGGGGGGCAGATGCTCTATGATTAAGAGGTCTGTCCTGTTGGTGTGAACCAAAGGAGTAACCATTAACCAGCTTGATTACACACACACACACACACACACCGTAATATAAATTCTTTATCTTCTAACTTAGCTGCCTGGGGCTCCGTTTGCTAACAGCCGATGCCACACAAATTTCACTGGATGATGCTCTGCAGATTCCCAGGTTGTAACAATCCAGCCTGTGTGGTTTCTATTTCTTAGTGGCCACGCTGGGTGCCTCTGGAAATCCTCCTTGTTTGAACGTCTCAGCTTAGAGACAGGGGTGGAGTATGGGTTAGCAAGGAGTCTCTTGCCCACAAGCTGTATTCCAGTAGAAGCACTCTTTTAATCAGGCATTATCTTCTGGTTTGTAAAGTTGTCAGGTGTTTTGGAAAGACACAGGGGTCCTGTACCCCCCATCTCTTCACTTTATACGGTTCATGGTACCGACTCTTCTCAGCTTCTGCTGAATTCACAGGAATTACATTGTCATTGAGTCAACTCCAACTCATAGCAACCCTATAGATTTTTATAACACTTTAAAATTGGGGTGCTTATCACTATAATACTTGAATGAATTAATATATTTTCAAAATTAGTACAAAGCAAGTGCTATGTTATTAGCGCTCATTTTCATTAAAATATGTTGTAGTCAATGGTTTTTAATAAATGTATCCCCTTAAATGGAGGTGAAATACAACAGAAATCATAAAAAAGGGGAGCCTGCCCCATGGAGAGACCCCGAACTCTCCCCTACGTCCCACTCACCCCCCATGACCCACCTCCTATTGTGGGAGCGCTCTCAGTGCTGTCAGTCCTCAGCACCCAGTCAATGCCTTGGAAGTCCCTATTACCAAGCACCATCCGCTCTGCCCAGCTTTTCCAGAACCAGACTTCCACGGATGTTGTAGTTCCAAGTAGACATGTGAAGGTGACTCTGGCAGGTACCAGTCTGCAGCAGACAGATGCAGCCTCTGAGGTCTAGATGGCTACTACACATTTGCCCACCAGGATGACACATGACCTCCGAGGTATTGCTTCCCCTGCCACATTTAGGCCCTTTGGGTCAGGAACAAGCAGTGATGGAGGCTGGCTGGTAGATACTAAAATAGCATACTCCCCAGGTACCCATCCAGGACACCCCAGGGCTAGGGCCCCTGAGGCCTGGACGGTCCCCTTGAGTTCACAGCAGAAGCCAGTGGCAATGGCAGTGTCTAGAAGGCAGGGATTTTGGGGCGGGGGGGTGGGAGATAGGGGGGAGGTGGCATCAGCACTATATCAGTCAGGATTCTCCAGAGAAACAGAACCCAAAGAATATTCTCACACACATACATACACAGCAGTATAAAAAGATTTTAAGGATTTGGCTCATATGACTGTGGGGGCTGGCAAGTCTGAAATCTGTGGAAGCCAGAAGGCTGGAAACTCAGGCAGTTGGTGCTGCACTCTTAAGGGCAACTTCTCTGGGATATCTTTGTTTTTGCTCTTTAGGGCCAACTGATTAGAAGGAAGATCCATGTTATTGAGGGTAATCTCTTTACTTAAAATCAGCTGATTATACATGTTAACCACACCTACAAAATAACTTTACAGCAACACCCAGATCAATGTTTGCTATTAATATCAAATATAGTATTAGGGTACTATAGTCTCACCGGGAAGCTCTGGTAGCATAATGGCTAAAGCACTTGACTGCTAACCAGAAGGCTGACGGTTCAAACCCACCAGCCACTCCTCGGAAGGAAGGCTGGGCAATCCTACTTCCGTAGTGATACTGCCTCGGAAACCCAAGGAGGGGTCGCTATGAGTCACGGCCGACTCGACGGCACATAACAACAACATAGTCTCACCAAGTTGACACATAAAACCAGCCATCACAGGCACTAACAATTAGAACGGATGCTAAGAATAGGGTCCTTAAGTCCCTGCTAAGCCATAGTGGGGGAAATGTTAGATTGGAGTAGGGACTGGCCTAAAAGGGGAGTGCACTTAGGGGAAGGGGATATCTCAGGGTAATGGCGATCTACCAACTAGTAGGGAAGTACTTTTCCTTCAAAAGTATTTTTTCCTCCCCAAGTAAAGTTGTTTCAGCTCTTAAAAGAACTCAAAAGCAGGAATCCAGTAAAATCTCAGAAAGGACTGGAAACTAAGACTAGGAACTAGTGATCCAAAAAGTTCTATATCCATCTATCATCTCTGCCTCTTTCTGTACACACAATCCTTAAGCATACCAACTTTGCTGCTCCTAAATTTACATATAACAGGCTCATCCACGCAGAGATGGGCTTTCTTTTCCTGAGCGTAATTCCATATTCTCAGTTTGGGTCACATCTCCTTATATGGCCAAGGAAATAGTTAACACCGTACAAGCCTATAAATGGGGGTGTGCTTCTGACTGAGAGTCACTGTGAACCCAGCAGACACTCTTAAGTGTAATCTATTTCACAGCTAAAAGCTAGAAAGATAAATGAAAGCAGTATACCATGATGCCTTGATGTGGAAGATACGTAGTTTTTGTAAGAAACAGATGGACATTTCACTAATGAGATGAATATGAGAAACAAATTTAAAAAGAGAGAAGAAAATAATTGTGGACATATGAGCTTAATTATCTGCTAGACTGTAATGATAGGATATGTGGTAAATGGATGGAATGTGGGCCGTAAACTGGGGACAGTGGCAGGCATTTATAGAATAGCATTTTTAGACCAGCTTAGGTTTAGAAAGTCACCAAACTGGACTATTTTTTAACATTTAAAATAAAACTTTTTGCTACAATAAACACAATAATTTATTAAAATGGTTTCCAGAAATTGCCCAAATTATTTTTTAAACATAATTTAGGGTTTTTTTTTTTTTAACATTTCTTTAAATGTCACATCTTCTTTGACAAATATATACAAAATATTAAATTTCTATTTTAGAATTTAGTTTATACCTATGTAACAGAGTGCCCTAAACTGATATTCACCAGAATACCTTCCTTTAACCCCCAATGGTTTGTATCTTCCCTTTAAAACATATAAGCATCTTTTAATTAAGTTATCACTCTCAAAGGTGGAAAAAAAATCATGAATTAAGCATCTACAAATTCTTCTTCACTTCTGTTATAGTGTAGCAATTTATCATCTAATTCATAGTGGTCTATCAACTCAGTAAGGCTTAGTTTCTTGTTCTCTGACATAGCTGACTGCAACTCATAAAGCAACAGCTGGCTACAGTTTCTCCACTTCTTTATCAGCAACTGTAACTGAGACAGGTCATTCTGAAAAAAAAAAAATTTATATTTTATATATATATATATATGTATGTATATATGTCAGTAACTAGGTAGTCATGCTATTTTCATTTAACAAAAGCTATTAAATCAGTTGGTATGGGTGTTTAAAAACTAACACATCTGGGGATGAAGAGGACTTCTACTCATAGCAAAGTAGGATGGTTCTAAGTAAAATAGTTACAATGTCCCTTTCAGGTATATGGCTGTTGGACTTAGTGCATGCTCTGGGCCATCCTTATGCCTAAAAAATCAAATCATTGAAGAGGGCAAAAGCTATGCAGTGAAGCACCAAGGTTAAAAAAAAAATCTACTTTTTAGACAATAGCTGTACTTTAAAATATGACTATTCACATTTAAAATATTTTCAACATTCAAAATCTTAAAAGACTTCAGTAGTTAGATTTAGAAAAAGCTTAAAAATTCTAGAGAAAAAAAATGAGATATGCTAATCCATTATTAGGAGCTCTGGTGGTACAGTGGTTAAGGCATTCATTTGCTAACCAAAAGGCAAGAGGTTCTGAACCCACCAGCCGCTCCATGGGAAAAAGATGTAGCTGTTTCTGTAAAGACTCACAGCCTTGGAACTTTTATGGGGCAGTTCTACTCTGTCTTGTAGGTTTTCTATGAGATGGAATTGAATTGATGGCAGTAGGTTTGTCCTCCAGTATTTATACCACACTGCTGGGCATATGCATGAGTATCTAGGTAACTGAAGGTTATCTCTTTCTTATTACCCAAAACCCAAGCCTTCTGTCTTTTTTGGTGCTTGCATCTAACATTTGGTACTTTTAATACTGCTGTAAAGAGCTCTCGTGGTACAGTGGTTAAGGTAATTCAAACCTACCACCTGTTCTGTGGGAGAAAGATGAGGCAGTCTGCTTCTGTGAAGATTACAGCCTTAGAAACCCTAGAGGGGTTGCTATAAGTCAAAACTGACTGGATGGCAATGGGTGTTTAATACTGCCATAGGCTGGAAACTAGAGAAAAACACTTCAACTTAAGTAAGAGTCAAGTGATCAACTTTAGCTGGGATTCTGGAAATGCTTTATCTGGTGTGTAGAGGTCTCTTCTCTATTCTAAAATATCTAAATATGTTTGAGTTAAAGTTATTCAAAGCCAGATTTCTGGAAACTTGGCTTATTACTTAGTATGCTAAAATAAACTATTCTCTTCTTGAAATCAATTTCCTGTAATTTATCTTAAAATAAAATTTATGCAATGGTTCTGAAATTCTTCTCACCTTTGATCTATACATTTTGGCTAGTTTTAGCCTCCGAAGGAAGTCTTCTTTCTCCTGAACCTGCTTCACCAATTTTGCTTTTTCTTCCTTTAATCCTTGTTTGGGAAGATTCTCATTGACAAAGTCATTTTGGAGAGCACTGCATGACCCAGTATCAAGTGATTTACATTCACATGTACTGATATCCTTGAAGGTATTTTTCAAATATGTACTTTCTCCAAATCCACTGTCTGTGTGTTTATAACTTTCTTGAAATTCCAAGCAGCTTTCTTCTGCTGAAGATACTGCCTTCTCTGAAAACATCTGATCACCTTCATCATTCTCTATTTTAAGACGTTTTACCACACCGTAACAGGAATTAAATGATGACCTTGTTTTTCTTAATCGCTCTCTAAGTGCTGCACTCATAGGCTGAAAAACACACAAAATATTTAAATTGTTAAACAAAAAAACATTCTTGATGTTAATAAATCTACTAGACATGAGGGCTTTATATTTCTACGATTGTTGTTTCTGTGTGCTTTCAAGTTAATTCCGATTCAGTGACCCTACAGGACAGAGCAGGACTTCCCAGTAGGATTTCCAAAGCTGTAACTTTAGAGAAGGAGCTCTGGTGACATAGTACCTAAGGCATTTGACTGCTAACCAGAAGGCTGGTGGTTCAAACCTGCCAGCCACTTCTCAGAAGGAATACTGGGCAATCTACTTCCGTACTGATACCGCCTTAGAAACCCAAGAAGGGGTCGCTATGAGTAGGATCTGACTCCACGTTACTGGATTTTTTTTTTTTTTTTTAATCTTTACAGAAGTAGATTGCCATATCTTTCTTCCATGGAACCTTTTGGTTAGCAGCCAAGTGTTTAATCATTGCACCACCAGGCCCCCTTATTTCTGTGGTAGACCATAGGCTTTCTATCTCCATAAACCTGTAAGTAACCATCACAAAAATGCTTAAATTAAATTCCCTGATGCTCCATTAGTTTTACTCTCTTTTTACTTTAGCAAGATCAATATCCTTCTAAAATGAAGTTGAGACACTTATCCTAATAATCATGAACATTTGCTACACAACACGCCTGACACTATTCTAGGTGCTTCAGAGTTACGGAAAAGATCTAGACCCTGCCACTAACAACCTTAGGATAACACTGTACATATTCAAACATCCTCAATTTGTTGTTGTTGTTGTTGTTGTTATGTGCCGTCGAGTCGAACTCGACTCATAGCGACCCCTCCTTGGGTTTCCGAGGCAGTATCACTACGGAAGTAGATTGCCCCATCTTCCTTCCGAGGAGTTGCTGGTGGATAGAGTACTGTAATAACCTCATGTGAAATAATTTATTCAAGATGAAAATTTTTAGGAAAAAAAAAGGTCAAATGTTATCTTAGAAAAAAAACTTAAATTAATATTTAATAAAATACATTTTCTTATCAATGCTACACATTGTTAATGAACAATCTTCAGTAGACTTAAAACCACCGCTGCCAATATCCTTAGAACAGATCCACCGGAAGAACTAAGATGCTCGTACTTGTCTTGAACTATTTGTACGGGGAGATGGTGGAATGGCACAGGCCTCTGGAGTGCTAGGTAATGTCACAGCGGAGTCTGACAGGCTCTCCATCTTACAAATGAAATCTTGGATTTATCTCTGAAATAGAAATATAATGACAAAATGAAAATCAAATAAATCCATCCTTCGATATATTCCTCAATTTGTATCAGAGTTTTTGGTTCATTGTACATAGCATCTGCAAGTAAACCAGCAATTTCCTGTAATTCCACCTAGTTGTCGTTTTGCGGTACTGTTTTCCTTTTTACCTTCCCAATCAGCCAACACCTCATTTAAGCAAGACCATTTGTTTTTATCACAGTATCTTCAAAATCTGCCACACGGGGGAAAAATAACAACTTTGGATAGTTACGAATTCTTCACTTTGGTTATGAGTTTCATAACGAAAGGAAATATAACCTAAATCTCGACTTAAAAAACATAATCAGACCTGACACACCACCCTGAACCCTGAAAGCTGTGACTGGAATCAATGACCTTCCAGAACTGAGGGAGACGGAGCACACACGGAGATAAATTAACACAAGTCTGCAGAGTTTTCGTATAATTAGCAGAGATCCTGAAAAGGAGAGTCGACTGAAGTTTGTTTTCTCAAAAGCATCGACTTTATCAGGATAAAACCAGAAGGAGTCGTCCTTCTTTCCTTCCCAATACTGCAGGAACACCCACCCTAGCCCCAGAAGGATTCTAATCCTGAGGTGAAGTTGAAAAATCCCCCGACCGCGGAAATGGAGCTCAAATAGCAACCCCACAGCCGACTCGCCAGCATAAATTAATTTCTCAGACAACCACAGGTGTCTAGCACGCTACCTGCCCCCGCCAACCCCAGAGTGTGCAGAACGCGCGCGCAGCCGCAGCCGTAAACCGCCAGAGTTCTAGAACCTGGGCCGAGCTGGGGGCGGGAGAGACGCGCGATTGGCTAGATTGACAGGAGGGCGCTGTTCTGCTTCAGCCAGTGCCGAAAAGAAGAGGTACTGCGCGCGCGCAGCCTCAAGCCTTAGAGAAGGGCGTAGGTTGGGGCAGGACCGGGGCTGGCAAGGCGGGCTCACGCGAGAGGCGGGAGAGACGCGTGATTGGTCGGATTAACTTACGCGCGCTGCTCTGCCCCGGCCAGCACCCAATGGCGGCGAACATGCGCGCGCGTGGCTGTTCGCCTGAGCGCTGAGTTGCGGGCGAACGGGCGGAGTTGACTTTCAGAACTGCTAACCAATCCTTAAAGGATTGCTCCTCTTTTCGAGGTTTTCCTGCCTCTCGCCTTCCGTCAATCGTCTTTCCTTCCTGCTTTCTTGTTTGTTTGTGTGTGAAGTACTCCTGAGAATTCGCTCACCTCCTCCCCATTCTCCTAGTTCCTGTTAGTCTCAGCATCTTGCTCTCCACAGCAAAGGCCCTTCCTCAGAGAGACCAGAAGCTGCACGGTTCGCTATGTGATTAAATTTGCAGCGTGTAAAAAGTTCTGTGTCAGAGAAGCAGGTCTGCTTTTCACTCAAAACAGCAGCTTTGAGTGAAATTTAGAAATTTATCCAAGAGTCACGGCGGATTCAATTGAACTAATTTCAAGTGTTTAATTGCTTTGAAGCAGGCGCAAACTTGGCGGTCCCGTCGTCAGGTTTTCAGTCAAATCAGAGAAATTTTAGCCCAACAAGATTTGTTTTGGTTCAATACGGGAAGCAGAACATTCACTAAGATTGTGTTTGTCCAGAATTGAGGTTTGAGGGAAATGCGGCCTCTGCTGAATACCGGGCATCCTAGGTTGCTATGATTTGGAATCAAACCCAATTTTGGGGGGCTTTACCCTAAAATATTCTCTTCCATTTCCTGGGGTGTGATATTCTGTGGCTGTGCAACAACAAAGGTAACTGAATTGGCTATAGCACTGGATTTATGGGAAATCTGTGGAGTCATTTCAAACTGAGTCACCTGGAAGTTGGCCATTTTAAGGGGACGGTGTTTTCAGTCCACTTCAAACGTTAACATCGTCTCTACTAACATCTGAGCTCATTAATGATGCTTAGGCTTCCTGGTATATAAGGGGGAGAGAATAGTTCTAAGAAAAATTTGTCAAATTCCCAAATTGATATTTACAGTGTAAATTCCAAAATAATGGATGCTTAGAAGGAGCCAGAATCCAGAAGTAACCAAGTCTTAAGCAATCAAGTATAAACACAGAACCTGAAGAAAGCCTAATACAGTAGTTAAGGACATAGAGGGTGGAGTCAAATCTGTGTTCAAATCGTAGTTCCATTATACTGTGAACCTTTTCATGTAGATTCTGTGTGTCTCGGTTTCCTCATCTTTAAAATGGGGTAATAGTACCTATCTCCTAGGGTAAAGGATTAAATGAGAATTTATGAGAGGCATGGAGACCAGCACTAGATATCTAAAAACCACTGGGTAGTTGATTTACATATGCAAATACACCATTCCCAAACTGGTTCAAGGGTATTTATCACATAATTTTTTCATCCTTTTACTTATCTCTCCCCAAAGGGCCACAGATAATTTTTTAAAGAGTAAACTCCCTCAATTTAAACTAAAAATAGCAGAAAACTTAGAACTTCACCTATAAGTCATCATACATGTTCCACTGCCTCTAAATTTGTTATTAATTCCATAAATTAACCTGAAGGAATTTTCAAAGTGGAAGAGACCCTTAGTCAACCTTCAAGCCTGGAACTGAATTCAGGCCTCCGGGGCTCAACTTCCAGCCAAATGATAGAAAAGTCTGTAAGGTGAACAATAACACCAAGGAAGAGACACACCTTAGAACAAACAGGGCAGCATTTGCCCAGGGAGAAGTTCAGAAGCCAAGGAGGAATAGGAAAGAAAGATGAATAGAAACGGTAAACACAGCAAGGAAATGGGAAGAATGCTGTTATATTGCGGGGACTGCAAGCAGTCACAAAACAAAATGTATGAATTGTTGAATGGAAAACCAATTTGTTACGTAAACTTTAAACCAAGTCACCATAAAAAAATTGAAGGAAAAAAAAGGTGAATGAACTCATGACTTTGTGATACAGATATTGTTTGCCTCATCAAGCTACAGGCCTCATTCTGTACATTTATTTCTACCTTTACTCTCCCATTGGCATCAGTTAATCTCACTGGAAAAAAAAAAGCAGAATGATTTGTCTTGACACTGGCAGCACAATGCAGACTCTGCATGTTCTTTTCTACCTTGCGGCATAAGGGTGGATTGTTTTTATGAATCCCTAAAGTCAGCTATTCCCAAATCCTTTTATCATTGCAATTTAAGCTTAAAGCTCTGTTTTTGATGGCTGCATACAACATCTTGTCTAGAAATGTTCTGACATGCTTATTATGTGAACTAGTATGTTAAGATAGAATTGTTTTGGCCAGATTTTCAAAGAACTTAAGAACAAGTTTCCAGAAGAACCTGTATTTTAGAAATGTGCATATATCTTGACCCACATCTTTGACTTCTATGCATTGTTAGGATTGAATGCTTTCCCATATATGACTTTGTATTTTACTTACTCTTTTCATGTAACAATTTGTAAACCTACTTTTCTTTTTCTTTTTCTTTGTTTAAATATAATTTATGTACAGTGAAATACACAAAACTAAAGTGACATGGGTTGATGCATTTTTTTTTTTTTTTTTCAGTGTTCCCTCCCCTCCCCTCCCACCCCTGGCAACCAACAAAGAAAGTTTCTCTCCATATATAAACCTTTCCTTGACCCTCCACAACAATGAACGAATACTATATTTGCCCTTCTGTGATTGACTTATTTCACTCAGCATAATGTCCTCCATAGGAGCTCTGGTAGCCTAATGCCTGAGGCACTTGACTGCTAACCAGAAGGCTGGCGGTTCAAAGCCACAGCCACTCCTCGGAAGGAAGATGGGGCAATCTACTTCCATAGTGATACTGCCTCGGAAACCCAAGGAGGGGTCACTATGAGTCGGGTCCGACTCGACGGCACATAACAACAACAAACAACAACAATGTCCTCCAAGTTCATCCATATTATGCGGTGTTTTGCAAACTCAACATTATTCTTTAGTGCTGCATAGCATTCCAGCATGTGTATGTACCATAGTTTGGTTATCCACTCTTCTGCTGTTGGACACATAGGTTGGGAAACCTACTTTTCCTACACAGTTTAGTGTAAAAGTTTTGGAATCTGCCCTAGTTTTCATTGTGTTGTTGTTGTTGTTGTTATGCATATCCATTATCTTTAGGGGCCAGAAATCTATTGGGCTATAGAGTTTGGTGTTTTTGACATAGGGCATTCTATGCTTCATATCAAACTTTTCGGGTAGGAAAAAAATGCTATTCACATTGAGTCTGAAAGCAAAGTCTCCTTACCCTAGCATAGAGAGAACAATTTGAGCAATAGAATTCAATGATAATAGTAATTAAAATGTGTATGTGTTTATGTGTTTAAATTTCTTCAACACCCAAGGCTACTGTTGGCCACTTTATTATTCATCAGGGAGTGGTAACATGCTTCTTCTGTTCTTGTCTGTGATTATTGTTGGTGGAATGATGACATAGACCTAAAAACCTTTATGAGTTTTTTTGTTTATTATTATCATTAATAGGAAGAAGAGAACAGTGAATAATTTCTCCCTCACTCCCTTCCTCTCTTTCTCCCTCTTTCTCCCTTTCTATACATACATACATACCATTCAGCCACAATGAAAAATTTTATTTTAGAAGTTTTTTTTTAATTTTTAGATTTAGCATTTTTAGCTATCTTAATAATCACAGTATGACCTCAATTTCATATAATTCATTGACTTTTCTGCATTGACAAAAATTTTAGTTACATGGAGACATAGCTAAGGAGGACTGATCGTGTAGTAGTTAAGGCATGTGGCTGCCAACCAAAAGGTAGGTGGTTCAAACTCACCAGCTGCTACTCAGAAGAAAGATGAGGCAGTCTGCTTCCACAAAGATATACACCCTTGGAAACCCAATGGGGGTCACTGTGAGTCGGAATGGACTCAATGACTTTGGGGTTTTGTTTTTGTTTTTGTTTTTGTAGACATAGCTGGTATCTATACACTTTTTTTTAAACCAAGATATGAGAAAATACACTTTTAAAATTGGT